AAAAAAGGTTTGCTGCATGCAACTCATTGGGGGGCGCATCCCCTCTACGCCAGCCCCAGCCAGGTCTGTATGCTGGCTTGCTCAGGATACAGACTGAGAGGGGAGGTAAGCTGCCATTGAGGAACTCTCATCTTAAGTCTTTTAGTTTGTTGCAGCTGATGAAGTTCTTCGGATAAGATCGACGACTCCCGTTTGATGCACTCCAGAAGTTTTTCCCTTCATGCATACAAAAGATTTTCTAGTTATAAAGAGTACTGGAGTGAAGAATAGAAGACAGGGAGAGATTCGCTTCGTCACAGCAAAAGATATTGTAGCTCTTCGCAAAGGCATAGACATCCTCGCAAGCACATCTACGCCACTTGAAGATGCATGCACTAACAATACTGTCAACTGCAATTCAATCAATTGTCTTTTACGGGCTGAAACAAAATCAAAAGGTTGTGCACACAGTCTTTCAAATCGGCCGCCCGAGAGTGGGGGAGGAATAATGTTTCGCCTTAAGGTTCTGCTTCTCAAGCCCTCAAAGCCTACAGCTTCTTTTTACATGCTCGTTATTATTATCTTTATTATCTAATTCATTATTACGCATCAAAGATGTATTCTTCCTTGACGAACAGACGCCCCACTGTGTAGTCAAAGTTGCTGTACTCTGTATCTACGGTTTACCTCAGGGATTACCCGCAAATGGATTAAAAGCTTCACAGGCTGTGCACTCCAGAAGAAACAAAAGAGTAAAATTGTTTGGCCCCGTCGAAGTGATGGGGGGGCCCTTCACCAAAGACAGAAAATATGCGATAACGGTGTTGTAAAGAGATGTAGTAAACTGCACATGCAGATCTTCTTCGAAGCAGTTCTATGTTTATTCTAGCTTGTATTAATGATCAGGAGCTGATAGCTTTAGTTAGGAGAGGCAAAGAAGTAGATATTATATCTCAAGCTAAGATGAGGAGGCGCAGCCAACCCAACTCTGTTCATCGGTGCAGTCTCTACGACTATGCACCGTGGAAGACAGAGGGGGAAAGATAATCGACAGAACTATGGGTAGTTTACAACTGCGAGTTTAATTAAGAAGTAGAAGATTGTTTTAATTTGCATCTTTAATGCTGTGAGAGGCCATCATGAGAAGACGCGTCTCCTACTCAAAGCACCTTGTGAATGTACACTCGAAGGAGTAGATGTGTATCCCAGGCTAGAAGAAAACAAATTAGAGTTATTCAATTAGAACACTTAGAAACAGAAGACTGAGTCTTCCTGCATCTGAAGCTGCTTTAGCAGCAGAAGGCGCAGCTGCAGCGAGTGCAACACACGATAAGCTGCTGCTTCCTTGCAGCACCATTTCTATCCATAGAGACTGTCAAGCTCTCTGAAGCACTTGCGAGAAAAAGAATTAAGAAGCAAAAAACCTTTACTCGAGCCCCAAAGTTCGGTGCGAACAACAGCAAAAAGGCTTGCAAAGAGCAGAGACTCACGCGGATAGCAGTATGCGCGGCGCTTCAATCCACAGCATTTGGAGACAGCTTGTGAACGCCACATACACCAAAGTATAATATCGGTTGTTAAGGGTTTATTTGACTGATCTTAGCATCGGTATTTGCTTCTCTGTCGCTTTGTGCTTCATATGTACGCACGGAGGAGTTAAGCAGAGCTTAACTCTATGCAGACATTGTGGGCTGCTAAGCACAGACTGTCTGAATGCAGAAAGAGAGGCTAGCTGCTGTAGTGAGGAGTTTTTGCTGCTGGGTGTTTGACTCTGCTGCTGCACGTCGCGACAGTGTTAAGCTAAGATGTAAGGCTCTTCCTTTGCATCCACTATATCTCCTTGTTTTTTCGTCTGCTTTGTTAAATGTCGCCTCTGTTGAGGTTTAATTTCTATTCCTTATCCTTTTAAGTATATTAGATAGAGATAAATACCTAAAAACCCTCAGAAAGACTCTATTGTTTACCTTTTGTGTTAGCTGTTATCTGTCTCGCAGAGAGAGACGGGAGCGCTTGCGTCTCTGGAGGTGAGAAGAGAGAAAGTTGTAAAAAATAGTGGCTAGAGTCTACTGAATGCATTTTTAGAGTTAAGAAAAACATAAAATTGGGAAAAATACAAATAAATACTCTAAAGTTTATCTAAATAAACCTTCATCAGGTGTATATACACCGGAGGAGCAGGAGTTTGCGCAGTGCAGCGAAGGGCTGCAGTATACGGGTTAGAGATCGCTGCAGATATTGATGAAAAAAAAACCATATTAGTTAGTTTTTTAAATTCTAGGGGTTTTAAATTGGTTATATAAACATATTTTGCTTTTTAATAGCGTTTTTTATTATATCTTCCCTACATTTTCTTCTCGTAGACCCCAGCAACGGGCGCTGAAGTTCAGGTGTACAGCCAGCTATGCAGTGCGGGGGAGGCCTCTTCATATTCTTTGACAAACTACGTCTGTTTCGGTGTTTTTCTGTGTTTATTTTTGTACATTTTGTATCAATTAGCGTTTATAGATGCTCAGCGCATGCA